ACTTGGGGATTTCAGACGAGGCTATTAGTTCAATTTTGGTGAGAGAAGAAGCTAGGCAGCAGAAACCAATTTATTATATCAGCAGCGTGCTGCATGGAGCAGAACTGAGGTATCTTATAGCTGAGAAAGCAGCATTAGCAGTCGTCACTTCGGCCAGAAAGTTGAGGCCATATTTCCAGTCACACCTAATTATAGTTCTCACCGATCAACCTCTCAGGCAGATTCTGCAGAAACCAGAGTGCTTTGGAAGATTAATTAAGTGGGCAGTAGAACTGGGAGAGTTTGAGATAACGTTTCAGCAAAGATCAGCCATTCGAGCTCAAGCATTAGCAGATTTATTGTCGAATGCACTCCATGTCCTTCAACCTCTAATCCAAAGTCCAACGAGTGGACCTTATATGTTGACGAAGCATCGAGTACCAAGGGCTCAGGGGCTGGCGCTCTCTTGATTGGTCCAGAGGGATACCGAAGAGAACATGCCCTGAAGTTCAATTTCGATGCAACAAATAACATGGCTGAATATGAAGCTCTGCTACTTGGTCTACAGTTAGCATTGGAGTTGAAAATCAGTGCAATTCAAATATACAATGACTCCCAGTTGGTGGTAAACCAAATTAACTCAATTTGTGAAGTTGTTGATCCTGTGATGGTGAAGTACGTTGCCTTGGTGACCGAGCTGAAGTGCAAATTCCAGAAATTCTGTCTGAGTAAAATTCCCTGAGCTGAGAATGAACAGGCAGATTTACTCTCCAAGTTCACCTCTAATGGCTCTTTAAGTTCCAGATCCATTTTTGTGGAAGTCTTAGATGAACCAAGCTTCATGAAGCCTCGGATAATGGAGATTAGCACAAACCCTGACACACCAAGATGGACTGACTCAATTATCTCCTTTTTGCGAGATGGAATAGTACCTGAGGAAAGGCAAGAGGCAATGAAGTTGAGGAAGAAAGCATCTCAGTATACACTTGTTGATGAGGTCCTTTATAAGAGATCTTTTTCACTTCCCCTTCTACGATGCTTGAATCCTTATGAAGCCGAGTATGCACTTCGGGAGGTACATGAAGGTGTCTGTGGGAGCCACGTCGGTGCTAGAACTCTGGCTCACAAAGTCTTAAGACAGGGATATTACTGGCCAAACATGTATAAGGATGCCATTTACTTTGTTAAAAAATGTCCGAAGTGCCAATTCTTTGCACATCTGACTCACCAACCTATAGAAGAACTCACGAACTTGGTAGCACCATGGCCATTTGCACAGTGGGGACTAGATCTTTTGGGTCCATTTGTGAAAGGGGTTGGTGGTGTAACCCATCTGGTTGTTGGTGTAGATTATTTCACAAAATGGGTTGAAGCTCGGCCTTTATCTAGTCTTACCTCCAAGAAGGTCGAAGATTTTGTTTTCAGCTCGATTATCTGTAGATATGGGATCCCAAATCAAATTGTGGCTGATAATGGAACTCAATTCAATTGCTCCTCATTCCGAGATTTCTGTTCCAGTTATGGGATCAAGTTGCAGTTCACTTCCGTTTACCATCCGGAGTCCAATGGCATGGTGGAATCTGTTAACAAATGCATTTTGGAAGGAATAAGGCCGAGATTGGAGCAGCATAAGGCCAAGTGGGCAGACGAGCTCAACAACGTCCTCTGG